GTGGAGAAAAGGGAGAGTGGGATGGGCAGGAAGGTCTCTTAAGGAGGGTCTTGGATTCTAGAGTAAGAGCAATCGCCTTGCACCATATGGATCCGATTTGACATTGAGGATTACGAAAATAGCAATCCTTTCTGTGTTTCCAAATGAGCCAAAGACTATTGGCATTAAAAGCTTTTAAGAAGACAACAAAAGAGTGATTTAATTCATCTTGTTCGTCAAGCCAGATGTCATGCAACCATGATTCAAGATAAGTATAGTTATACAAAATAGAAGTAGTGAACCGAGAGATGAGGAGTCTTTTCTATAGAATTTTTCAAAGAAAATTTTTAACAAGTAACCAAAAGAATTGATATGCTTGTTATCTACATATTGTCTTGATTCTTTTTATTTTGTCCACTGTTTATTCAAGCCATCTTAAAATCCATGAATAGCTGATTTTGATGAAAAATCATATAAATTATTTTTTCTAGTTTCCAATAAGTAATGTTTATTATGATTAAAGATATTTGCTAAAACTTTGTTGTCATTCTTTGTCTTCTAATTCTATGTTTCTATGTCCAAATGAAATAAAAAAAGTTGTTTGGTTCTATGAGAAACTTCAACTACTGTGGTATTGTTATGAACCAGGAAATGTATTCATCATGACGTACTCTTTAGTTTCGCCTATGACACATTTAGATATGTGCAGTAGTACACCAAACATGACCATCTCCTCATGAGTGAGAAGATTTCCGTGAATAACAAGCCCGAAAATAATATCATGTGTTAAGAGTAATGGCATCTAACAGGCTGCATTTTGATTCTGATTGCATTCCAATCCTGGCTTATGCTGAAACCATTGTCTCCCCAACAGGCAACCAAGTGTTGATCTAATTTTGATACATTTGAGTTGTAGATTGCTGTCTAAGAACTCCTCCTCTGTCATCAGTTTGCTTATTTTAATCTGCTCGTTCTTAAGCAAAATGGAACCTGGAGCATGATAGATTTGCTTCTGAAAACCAGCTAACTAAGATCTCAGATCCATAATCCTTTCCTTGCGTCTGCCATTCTTTCTTTTAGCAACTCTTTCGAATTATTGTTCAAAATTTCCAGCTTCGAGTGAATCGGAACATCCTGCTCCCACTAGTTTAATTTGTGAGGACCAACAGCCTCTGACAGACAGTATCGAAGAAATTAGGGTCTTTCACCAACACATTAACGAATTCAAAGGAAAACTCTTTACGATCTAAATTACAGATCCTTGATGATCAGATATACCAGGAAAGGTCATGGTTCTGAGCTTTCGTTCATGACAAAGGAAATTTTTGGTGACTAAAAGACTTGCCTATTGAATCCGGATGGAACAAATGTTTCTATCTAATACAGAGGTTAACATCACGTAAATATGGTGGAAGAAACCATTATTTCATGAAATAACTCAGATGTGATATGGGCTCTGTTGTCGTCGTCCTCATCGGTGCTGCTGCCGGCTCTATTTTCGTGTGAAGGACAATCTTATTTGACTTTATTAAGGATCCAAAATGGAATTGGGATTAACAATGGTGGAAGAATCCATTATTTTGTGAACCAACTTCAATGTGAATTGGGTTCTCTGGTTGTTGTTGCCGTCGTCGTCTCTTCTGCTGCTAGCTCTATTTATCGTCGTCGTCTCTCGGGGAAATAAGACTGGTTGTTGTTACGGTCGTCGTCGTTACCCCAATTCATCCAATCTACTAGCATCAAATGAATGGTGGAGTTCGTTACCCATGTGCTATTGATATTTGGTGCTGGAAATAAAAGATTAAATATATTAATCAAGATAATTATATATATATATATAAATTAATGATTATGAAAATTTTAGTTATCAACTTAACAACTATTAATCATGTTTATCAATAATTAATTTTAATTTATAAAAATATAAATATTTAAAATATTAGTTTGGTGGTAATGTATCACTTACCAAAGTTCGAAAGTTTCATGATTTCGTTTAACTAATGTTTACTACAACGTTGATCGAGTGAGTTTGAAACTTTTATTTATTTATTTTTTTGAAGACAATAATTAGTTGATACCAATATCTTAATATTATTACGGGATGAGGGGGATGATGGATCACTCAACCCGCATGCAAAACATGTGGTCTTTAACGTTTGCGAGTTGCCTCCATGCACCAAAAAAGATGAAGGGGAGCGTGAAGCGCACAACACGAGGTGGGTGATGCGACTCCTGTCGCGTCCTCCCACTCCCCCATCAAATCGGAGATCCTTTAGAGAAGTCGCTGTTGTGGAGGTGGTGGAGATATGACTCTTTGCCTTCGACTTTGTAAGCACCGTGTTGAAGATGTGACTGTCGAGAGAGAGAGAGAGAGATTTGCACCTGTTTTCACAATAGTACACACCAAAACTGGGGTGTCTTCCATTTTACGAGTTTGTTCGTGTGCTTGAACACATCTGACAAGGTTGAGATTTTGTCTGTCCTCTCTCACGAGATAGGAGAAGCTATCTTCTTTTTTCCATTCTTCATTTCAAAGCACCTTTATACTTTTATGTTTCTCTTATCATAATAAATCAGCATTACATTCATGGTCTCGAAATCACATCATATTTTGTATAGATCCACTCGTCGAGATTAAAAACTTGCAAAACCTCACCTTAAATGATCTCATCTGATAAAATTTTTAGTACCTAAATATTGTTGATCCCATAATATATCAATATCACTTAATAAGGATTAAAAGTTTGAGATAACTTTTATGAAAATGTCAAACTTAGCTAATAAAGATGGCTGCGTTCCAATCTCGTCTTTTTCATCAAAACAATCAATGGACTGGTCGACTTGAAATGACAGTGGGCAAGACTAACAGCTTGCAATGTAAAGAAAGATTCACACTTGAATGCCATCACCAAAGGGTCAGACTCATCTAAATATTTAAATGCATACGAGGCCACACCTAAAAGAGAGGAGAGGGTGCATATATTAAGACAGGCACCCAATACCAAATAGGGCAAAGTCGCTGCACGAAACCCATGAAGCATGACTTTGTTCGGTTGTTGGCCTCCTCCATGCAAATTCCAATAATACATCTCAATCTATCACATGCACGACGACATCACCCAATTCAATCCAATCCCCCACCCTTCAAATCGTCGGTCACTTGCTATTTTTCTTGTTCTTGACTTGTATATATAGTAGAATCTCAAATTTCAATATATATATATATATTTGTGTAAAACCCAAATTCTAGCCCCATATCGAACATGGGAGGAGATCTAAGTTGGTCGATCGTTAACATATGTTTAAGTATCTTGTTGAGTCGCGTAGTTCCGAGTCCTCAAATTAACATGTCAATTGTTCCTATCGGTCAGGTGATGACAATATACCAAAGAAGTCACATCATTTATGAATAAAAAAAGAAAAAAAGTTAAAGAGACAATTTAGTCTACGACACGTGTGAATCAAGTGCTATATCTATATATATTTTTTATTTGTTTTTCCTTGTGTGATCGCATCAAACCTTTAGTTTTGGATGATTTCGAAGAGAAAGTTTGGCATAGAAAACGACCCATCTTTTCTAAGAAAGTTTCATACAATGTGAAGAAAATAAACTATAAAAAATACACATGAATGAAAAGTATGATTATATAAAGACAAGCTCAAGGATGGTGGATTAATTCATAGATTGATTATGAGTTATTTAGGCTTACAGAGAAGCATTATAAAATTGGAGCTTTCTCTAACTAAGAATATATTATTACACCTTGAGGTTTGAAGTTGAAAATTGTCATAATCCTACGAGTAGGGGTACAATTAGAATCGTAATCGAATTGTCTAGAAATGAAATGAAATCGAATCGAATCAATGTTTCGATAGTTCTGAATCGGACTGAAACCCAAGGTTCTGAGGTCGTACGATTCGATTTCAGTTTTTAGAAATTGGAATCGAAAGCTGAGGATTCCAAAACGGATAAATAAATAAATAAAAGAGTAAAATATTAATAAGTTTCATGGTGCAATGATTGGTATCTTAATTTAAAGCCTAATGATGTAGATGAGAATCTTGGTGAGGTAATTTATTATTATTATTGTTTTTTATCAGTTTAAAACGATGGAACCATATGGAACCAGTTTAATCAGAATCGAGAGGTTCTCGAATCGGAACCATATGGAAGCAGTTTGATTTCGATTTCCAATTTTACATAACTGAAATCAGTGGTTTCGAAACAACAGTGAGAATAAATCATTAGGTTTTTCTGTTTCTCTCTACATTTATTGAGTGTATTTTTTTTTTCTGTATGAAAAATCTGATTAAAGAACACTTAAAATTTGCTTAAAAATGATCTGATAAGCCGGAAAACTAGAAAAAAGACACTCAGATCCGTCGGTCATCCCTACTTCACGGCAAGATTGAGGACGAAATTTACTACCCAAAGCCGAACTCAAAAGCAGCAAAGTGTGGAAACTGATACATCTCTGTTCTAACTTGTTCCTCGCGAAAACTCGACCACCTTCCATCTCCTCTGTCAACACCGAACAGCTCCGCACGAAAACTCGACCACCTTCCATCTCCTCTGTCAACACAGCACAGCTCCGCACGAAAACTCGACCACCTTCCATCTCCTCTGTCAACACAGCACAGCTCACGTTCTCGTGTTCCACGTTCTGCTGTTCTGTTGCAGCAGGAAAACCACACCTCACTTTCACACCCACTGTCTCAGTCCTCTCAACCCCGCCCCCCCATCAAACCGTCCTCAGCAGGAGTGGATAAAAGTTGGACGAGACGCTACGCAAAACCTCATGCTTTCCACGTTTATATGCCGGCCCACACCTCGTGTCCAAAAGTGGTGAGACCGGTGAGGTTACACCCCCACTCTTTCAGACCTCACTGTGGCGCAGCACATTCACACAAGATTCGCCCAATAGTGTGCTACATGGGTTCAACGTACCGGGTGCTGATGCCAGCCCAACCACGCTCTTATAAGACCGACCTCGGTCTGCATGTCTTGTCACCGAGGATCGTCGAGCTTCTTCTTCGCCGAGCTCACAGCAGATCACCATGAACGTAGTACAGGAGTGGCCCGAGCCAGTCGTCCGTGTCCAGACCTTGGCCGATGCCCAGGTAATCCCCGAGAGGTACATCAAGCTACCATCCGAGAGACCACACCCTTCTTCAGCGGCAGGCGGCGCAGGAAGCCTTCCCATGGTCGACCTCGGCGGCCTCAAGCGTGGCGCAGCGGAGAGGCAGGCGACCTTGCTCGCCGTGTCGGATGCATGCAGAGACTGGGGGTTCTTCCAGGTGGTGAACCACGGGGTGAGCTTGGAGCTGATGGCCAGGATGAGGGAGGTGTGGAAGGGGTTCTTCGATCTCCCCATGGAGGAGAAGCAAGCTTACGCCAATTCCCCCGTCACCTTCGAGGGCTACGGCAGCCGACTGGGCGTCAAGAAGGGCGCCATTCTGGACTGGGGAGACTACTACTTCCTTCCGCTGTTCCCTCACTCGATCAAGAACTACGACAAGTGGCCTTCCCTTCCTGCTTCCTTGAGGTATATATCCACGTAGATTCACAGAGATCCATGCATGCATGTTCCTCTACACTTTTCTGGTCTTCATCATCATCTGATGATCAGGGAAACGACTGAAGAATACGGTGAGGAACTGGTGAAGCTGTGCGGGGTGATACAGAATGTGCTCTCGTTAACCCTAGGATTGGACGAAGGGTTCCTTCACAGGGAATTCGGAGAAGCTGGAGCAGGACTGAGGGTTAACTACTATCCCAAGTGTCCGCAGCCGGACCTCACCCTCGGCCTCTCCCCCCACTCCGACCCAGGAGGTTTGACCATTCTCCTCACCGATGACCAGGTGAAAGGTTTGCAGGTGCGCAAGGGCGGCTCATGGATCACGGTGGAGCCGATTCCCGATGCTTTCGTCGTCAATGTCGGCGACCAAATCCAGGTTTGCTTCCTCCTATATGGTTCATGTTTTTGCCTTGATCCTTTCTCATCTGCATGCACGTCGATGTGTGTGTGATATATGAGGAAGTGTTCTTAGAGATTCGATCGAAACAGTGCTCTTTCGCGTTGCAGTGTCCATCCACTGCATGCAGAAGCTGTGCATGCATGGACATGATAGAATTCATGCTCTAAGCTGTGCTTCCAAAATATGCCAAAACTGAGACAACAAAAAAGGTTGTGCAAAATACTCGAAATTTCGATACTAAATGCAATAATTTTTCTCTTCTAATTAATACACTAAATTTAATCATAATATAATGCCATATATTAATACACAAAAAAAACCACGAAGAACTCTGAAATATCTAAGATAGTCAAATGTTTCATATGCGCGGGAGAAGCTTAATTATAATACCAGTGTCTAAGTGTTTGGTCACTTCATCCAAATAATATTAACATGCATGTCAAAAATCTTCTAAAAGAATCATCAACTAAGAACAGGGGGTAGATAGATAAGATTTGGATGATAACTAAACATCGGGAAAGAAACTTGTGATTTGCATCGATAAGGCTATCTTCTACCTTTTGTAAGGTAAGTGTCCAGAGCATGCAGCCACGTGCTCATCTCTCCTTCTTCACGCCCTTCTTTCCATCTCTAGCATGTTCTTCCTTGGTGATTTGACTGTTAACCTAAAGTCCTGTCAACGCTTGATAGATTTGTGCCATCATCTCTCTCTCTCTCTCTCTCTCTCCCTCTCGTTATCTTTCCAATCACAGAAACGAAACCATATGCTTTTTAATGCACCTCAAAAGTTGCTCTCATTGAGTTCATGTGTTCTAGCTGTGTGTGAGATGGAGAGGAAGAGAGAGAGGCTTTGATTACTTGGGAATTGCATGCTCTTCTTGGCCACGCAGGTGCTGACCAATGGGAGGTACAAGAGCGTGGAGCACCGGGTGGCGGTGAATGCAGCAACGGAGAGGCTCTCCATGGCTTTCTTCTACAACCCCCAAGATGACTTGCTCATCCACCCTGCCAAAGAGCTTGTGGCAGATGGCACATCCCCCATGTACAAGCCGAAGACCTTCAAGGAGTACAAGCTGTGCATGAGGATGTTGGGCCCTTGTGGGAAGATGCTGGCCGACGCCATGGAAGCTACTTAATTAATAAGCATCAGAATTGAGGGATACCAAACAATTCGTTCAGCTTCAAGGATATGCCGTACTCATTGCTATTATTTGGTGATTAGAAGTAAATGATTTTGTTGTTGTTGGCATTTACGGTTTTGTTATTATTGTCGTCGTTAAATAATCTATCGTCGGTGATGTTGTGATTGAATTATTAGTAGACGCTAGTTTTGCTTGTGCAAAGCTAGGTATATGAGGAAGCTCAATAGTTGAATGTGTTTCGCTCTAGTGGCATATGCATACGTTCTCTCTCTCCATGTATATATTTTGAAAGATTGGAAACAATGTTGAAGCTGTATCTACTGCATAATGTTAGAAAAATAAACTTGATTTATTATGCTCACTAAAATGTATGAAGATATTTAGATAACTATAAGGTCTCTTAGATAATTATACATACATATATATACATATATATATATATATATATATATATATATATATATATTGTGTGTGTGTGTACATATATATATATATATATATATATATATATTTATTTATTTATTTATTGAAACCTGATTTTAATGGATCGGATAAACCCAATCTAGAGGAAAAGAAAAAAAGATTCTATTGTCCTTGCATGAGAGTTCATTTATATTATATAAATTAATTAAATCTTAAGTTATGATGCTTGATGATAAGCGCGTTTAGTCTTATATCGATTGAGTAGTAGGAAATCAAAATTTAGAGTCAAACAATTACCTCTACTCTAGAGACACATTCTGGATCCACCTTAAGAATTCAAAACTGTGCAGGGATAATTATAGAGCAGATAATTTCTCATGAGCTGACATGATAAAATCGAATGAGAACCATCCCAAAATGAATAATTCCTTACGCTTGTGCTTGTATGATATATCTATCATGAACCAAAAAAAGTTTTCCCTTAATTATCAACATATTTTGTCCATTGAGTTCAACAAAGAGACAAAATCTAGTTTAACGTAAACCCACAAGAGTCCTACAATCTTCAATTTATGTTCGAAGACTAGTAAAGATAAGATGAATTCCTGAAGTTTATAGCTCTGTAGTCACAATCATAATCCATAGCAAAAGCTACAGAAGCAATTCAAAGTGAGATGGCACCAAAATATCACCATCTTTAGATTCACAACGGAAGCTTGATGGGGACGGAAAGAAACTGATATGGAGAGCATGAATTGGAAGAGAATGGATATCAAAAGCACGAGGAGGAGTGTGATGGGGGCAGCAGCAGTGGTGATTGCTCCCTACGTCCCTCCTGCGTTGCTTCTCCTTGTGGTCTTCTGTGCATGCGAGTTGGAGAAGATAGAAGACGACAGTCAAGTTTGAGGCATAGTGGTCTAATAGCTTAAAAGCCGTTCTTGGGAAGGATAGTGAGACGACGACAGTCCAGTTTGTATTTGGAGGCATCGCAAGCAAATGAGAAGAGTTGCTAATGTCGTTGCGAGGCCCAGTTGAGTAGCTTATAGGCCTGAGATCTTAGTTAGGCTTACGCTTTAAACCGTGGAAGGGATACACAAGGCATTCTAAGTTTCATCAAGTTGAAGATATTAGCTAGCCTAGTTAGTAAAATATTTTTACAGTTTATCGTAAAGTTTTAGGCTCAAATTCCGTTTTCATCATTTATCATTTGTAAAAGCGGGTTCAACCTGTTTTGGTTGTACAAAGAATCATGTTTTTGTATTGTCAGAAAATTTTTTATAAGAATTAGTCTATGTTATGAATCGTTCAATCTTTAAATTAGTGTATGATATTAATCTTGAACATAGAAGATGTAATTCTCCAATAGAAGAGTTCAAAGATGCTGCATATCTCAAGGGTTCTGGGAAAGTAGATCTAATTGTCATGGAATTGGTTGGTTAAACAATTCCCAAAGTGAACCATTTCCATTGGATCGAGGATCATGGCATTGTGGGTTGATAGTGAGATTGTTTATGTGATCCTAACTTGGATGTTAACCTAAACACCGACATATCAACTCAACTCATGTATATCATTTACACCTTAGCCTATACTCAACAGTGTGATTGATATTTGAGGTTCGCTTAATCCATCGTCCACCTACTATTGAACTCATTCTAATAGATTGTATTTGGTCATTTGCGTGATAGAAAATGAATCTTTTTGGGACATGTTCTATCCATCCATATAGCAATTAGCGGAATCCATCTAGCCCTATTTCGATTCCAAAGAATTTTATTGATCCAATAAAGATTTGTCTTGTCCATTTATTTTAATTCGAGTAGAAACAAGCATGTTTAAAACTAAGAAAGTTTTAAATGGAAGACTGAAGTGAACTATTGAACTATTGAAGTGAAAGCATAATATAATAATGCTTTGAGTGTTTTTGGTAATATAATTTCTATTTCATCTTTGGGTGAAATATTAATAAATCTAGTATTCACACAAGATTATTTATAGGAAATTGATACCATTCTCATGGAATAGTGTTGCTACCTTTGGGTACACAATACTAACATACAAGGATATTTAAAATAGTACCATCCTACCCATCATATAATTATTCAAAATAGTTGAGATCATTTAAATCTTCTAATTATGTGTCCCATTGTGAATGTTATCTTTTTTAGCATCATTTAGGATTAATTCCTTAATATAATTTTATAAGTTATTAGTCTATGTCATTTTGGCAGCTACAAGACCAATACAATAATATAAAATATAATTTAAAATATTTTATAAATGATTAAATCTTTATTGTAAATTACACCTCATAAATCTATTATCCTAGGCCACTTTGGTAGCTGTCGATCATATAAAACTTAGAGATATAAATTACAAGTAATATTCACTAAATTTTTTAATTTAATTTATATTGAAAAAATTCAATAATAAAATAATAACTATAATAATTGTTGAATATTAATCAGCATAAAGAAAAACTCATATGATACATAAATCATGCATTTATGTAAAAAATAAATATTATTTTATAATTTCAAACTTATACATATGAATAATCAAATAAATATCCAAGAATAATTATTAATTTTTTATTTATCATATGTAAAATGTAATCAATATGTCATATGCAAAACCTATCAAAGAAAATTATAATTTATATTTTTTTAAATTTCGTATGGAACCCTTATACCAATCAACCTTATTTAATTAGACAAACATCAATCTAAATAAGTTAGTCAAAAATTAAAATTAATTAAAATTTAATTTTTTTTAAATTTGATCAAGACTTAGTTGATCGAATCTAAATTTGTCAAGTAATAAAAATACAATCATGATCAAGTTTAATTAAAGTATTTGATTAAAATAGATCAAATTAGTTAATTTTATAATTGAGGGCATAAATATTTTTTTTTAATTTCTGAAAAGTAAAACTATAATTTTGACTTATGATATAAAATAAAAATTTTAAATTCTTAATGGTATAATTGAAAAGTTAACTTAGGGACACATAAGGACACCGAGCCACGTGGCCAGCAAATACTGTCACAGCGGTGGCAGAAAAAACTTTGATGCAATAATATTAGGATCCATCAACCAATTGCAACACTCTTTGGCCTGATAGAGATATCTTTTACCTAAAAGAGAATTTAATCCATCTCCATCTCTAATAAGCTTTTGGCACAGGTTGATGGGAATAAGATTACATCCACCCAACTTTGCTCTATTAATCTATCAAATTTCACAATGATAAGGGTGTTTATGACATGGACAATCCAATGTTATGTTCTATTAAGCATACTGTCGATCAACCAAACATATTGGCTAGTTGATGCATCCATTAGGATCAAAATTGATACTAAGAGGGGGTGAAAGCTTGTATCAGAATTAATACTTTTTGAAAACTTTTATCGATTTAAAGAACTCACTCGATAAAGCTTGTATCAGAAAGATGTTTAGCTTAAAAATATTCGCAAGAGTAATGAACATGTAAATTAATAAGTAATAAGAGTAAATAGTAAAGAAGAGAATATACTAGATTTATAATTGTTCGATCATCGTAACTTATTTCTACTCATAATTCCTCCGTCGTCGACGCCATCGGCTTTCAATATCGATCTTCTTTCACCGGACGAATATCAACTATCCTCTTATAACCCTTTTCTCATTTTCACAAGTTTAGAAAATAACCTTTACAAGTCACTCATCCCTTGAAATCAAACTTAGATAAGAAGTAGGGAATTCTCACAAAATTACAATAACGTTTTCTCAAGTTTTTATTTTCAGTTCTTGTGTAAACTGAGCAAGAATAAGTGAGGTATTTATAAGCCCCAAATATATTCAAATTTAGAGCCAAAACGATCTTATCCTGGGTTTTTAAGGTACTAGTGGTAGCACTGCTAGTACTGGGCAGTACTACCGCTTGCCAGACTGACAACTAGTGGTACCACCGTATGTCAGTTTGATACTAGACGATATCATTACCTGTCAAACTAACACTAGGCAGTACCATCGTTTAGTCTAGGTGGTACCACTGCCTGACATAATCTGAGAGACAATGTCTGGGTAGTACTACTAGTCATATGTGTCTTGCAAACCAATCACATGAGTGATGCCATGTGTGACATAATGTACATTCTTTAGGCTTATTATATTTTGAAATTTTATCATTTTATATTGCTTGTTGCATATATGCATATATATTGTGATGTCCATTGTTCTGTGCAACGAAAATTGAATCGTGATGAGACCATGATAATGAGACCGATTCACCTTTAAACATAAATCATAAATAATCCTGGTCATAGGTTACTCGAAAGGGATATCGAGATAACAAGATAGACTGATGTGCTATATACCCATCATATGATGAAGACAATTGGTCTCAAAGTTGCTCGTGTGGGGATACTAGGGCTACAATACAGGTGTTCATCGGAGAATGAGTTCACTGATTGATCTGCTCACAAAATGCTAGATGGTTAATGATACCTCATTGTCAAACAGCGATTCTGTCATCCCAGTGGTGTACCTAGTCCTTATACTTGAGACACTAAGGATGTTATATATGAGTACTCTACTCTTTAATGCTGGACTTATAGGCCTAGAAGTTCCAGATCTAGCACAGTCAATCATCGAGTGTTGCAGCTAACTTTACGAGGACTATTGAATATCAATAAAAGATCATCTACTCTCGATGTCATGAGAGAAATATCCCATGTATTCTTGCTTAAAACAAATCCCTGGCTAGGGTCATTCGGATTGAGAGAGAAAGAGTCCTCCAAGAGAATCCAATTAAAGTGAGACTCGAGTATAAACCATATGGGTCTGATAGCACCATACCCGGTATACGGTCTTTGGGATATTAGATGGATGAGGGACTATAGGTACATAATA